GGCCTTTGAGAAAGCCAGGCTTTTTCACATTTTCAGTCTTGGCCTGCAACAAAAAAAAAAAAAAAAAAAAAAAAGATAAGCCATTAAAGGAACTATTTTTAAACTAAACACACTGCATGGAGTGGGAAGCCATTTCCTTTTAACTAGTGAATTTTTAATGAACATATAACTTAAAAAAAAAAAATCGTTAAGCTGGGTTGAAGTCAGAGATCGTATGTTCACAATACACTCTAGAACTGGGGAAACCCATTATGCGGTAGTCCTGAAGTGTAAACTAAAACCTTTAGGACTCAGATTGAGATTACTAATTGGTCTGCCTGACCAATGAAAGCTTGAGACCATTTATTTTTGAGAGGTAAAGGATAAATAAGTGTTTAACCATTTCAAGAGACAGCTCCGCTCTTTCTTCTGAGCACAGGAAAAATACTGACCAAACAATAAAACGAACTGGATTTTTGAGAATTGCATCCAATTCCCTTCACTTTTTAGAAGACTTTGTCTGGTTGTCTAGAAAGATGCGAAAAGAGATTGGACACATTCTTGGAGGAAAGGGGCCTCAGCAGCAATTTAGCATGAGAGTTAGAGGTACAGCCTCTGAATCAGAACTTCCTGGACCTTAAAATGCTGGAAGCTGCAAGCAGGATTTAAAATCCTGGTTAGATCCAGTTCACTCTCCCTTTCTACCTCTGCTCTCTGCAGCTATGTGACACAGGAGATTGGGCAAGATGGACCGATGGTCCGACCCAGTAAGCGGCAGTTCCCATGGTCTTAATCAGCCAGGCCTATTACAACCAACATGCCAGACAGGCTCATGAATGAGGTTTTTCCAGTGAGCTTACCCTACTCGTGAGTCATTTCCAATTCATCTGCATGTAGCCAATGAATCTGCTCTAATTTAAGTGCCTATAGGGGGTTGGCACTGGGTGCTGGCTGCAGCCCAGGCTGGGGATTTTGACTGGGTTGTGCCAATGCTCCTGCTGGGACCAAAGCCGGAGGTTCCTGGCTGGAGGGTCTTGCACCTCCACTCAGAGTCACGCCAATCACTACATTTGGGGTCAGGAAGGAATTCTACCCCACAGTCAGTTTGCTTTGGACTTGGGTTATTTTCATTTGTAGCAAGGCATGTGGCCCTCTGCTTGGGATGGCTTGAGTGTGTATTAACAACCTTTTACACAAGCAGGAGGTTGGCTGCCATGGTCCTCTTACTTTACCTGTGGCAGGTAAGGGTACTATGTCTTATGTCGTGTCAGGGTTGAGGGTAGTTTTACCAAGAGTTTAGATTATGGATTTGTATAGGATGGTTTGGATAGGGATGATCCTGCCTCGGGCAGGGGGCTGGACTGGATGACTTCTGGAGGGTCCCTTCTGGCTGACTTCTCTAACAGTCTATAACAAATTTCTATTACAACTCAGTCATCCGTGCCTTTTGTCACCCCCAGGCTAAGCTACTGCAATAAGCTGTACTTGGACCTAATGTTGAAGATCACTTATGTATAATACCACTGTCTGACACAGGCTGGAGGAGGTCAGCATGAAGTGCTGTTGTCTCTCTCCTGGCTGTGCTTGGTTTTGCAAGCAAGTGGCACTGGGAATAATGCAGCACCTTGAACAATGTGGGACCATTATTCAAGAGAGCCTTCTTGTCTCTGCAGCTGACATTTGGATGCTCTCATGATGGAAATGGAAAGGGAGGTTCAGGCTGACAAAGCTTTCCCAGCCTCTCACCTTTTAAAATTCACTTTCTTTATCAGCCTCCCATGGAACCAACGATTAGAAATTTTGGGGGCATGAAGCAAAATGTGCCTATTTGATTTGACTTTTGATCAACCATATTTTTTTCTTTACCTATGGCTCATCTATACACAAAGCATATCACTAACTACACCAACATAATAATACAACCCCTCAGAAGGGATGCAATTATAGTGGTATACAGGTGCTTATGCTGTGCAATTATATCAGTAACAACAACAAGCTACCGTAACTAAAATAGCTGCAACGGGATAAAAATCTGTGTAGACCTGTGATTTGAGTTCCCCGGCTTTTGCCTAAACACAACCTTGGCAACCACCGTTTCCTGCAACCCACCCACGGTGAATTACTTCTGTGCCATGTTATCTTTTAACTTCTGTAAAACAACGCCTAGTTGCTAAGGCTAGAGGCATTATAGTAAATTATTAAAACAGGCACCAGAGGAGTAGTAGCACCATTCATTTGTATCTGCTTATACACAGTAGCCAGTTTGAGCATAAGATTTCCTTTGCAGTATTTTTATCGATAGCAAAATACATTCCGGTTCTAGTTAAGACTACAATAAAAAATGGCTGTTCATTTTTGGCATTTAATCTATGACGTGGAAACAAGCCTGATTTTCAACAAGCCGGGGTGGGGTGGGGGGGTGGAATTATGCCTCTTTCAAAGTGCCTAATATTGGGCACTTAAAATTTGAGGGGGAAAAAAATCACTTGTGAAGATGCAGGCCTACATACCTGCCTAGCCATGATTACACTGTATTAGAGAAGAGGTGCCTTAGGATCCTTTGGTAAAGAGTGTCTAATAAAGACATGTGGAAAGTATTACTTTTGTTCCTACAGATTTGCAGGCAATGTTTTCTGGTTCAAGGTGCCCTGCCTTTTTACACACATATGGCACATATTCACCCACATCTAATTGCAATTGCTGAAGCTAATCTGGCAGCTCTTTTTTTTTTTTTTTTCCCCTTCTGGCAGGATTTCTGGAAAGCTGAATAGCAGGAGTCAGAGCAGGGTGACACCTTAGACACTAACTCATTCAGAGAGGCATAAGCTTTTATATGAGATAATCTACTTGCTTATAATCTCTGATGCAGCACGACAACAGCTCTTGACCCTTATGGCCAAGCTGTCATCTACAAAACCTCTCTGAATAAGTTAGTCTCTAAGGTGCCACCCAGTCTTGCCCTTCCTTCTGCCAGACTTCAGCCTAACGTGGCTAACTACCTCTCCCCAGAAAACTCAATATTAGTGGCACCATAACCATGCACCTACGTCAAAGCATGGAGCCAGCCTATCGATGGTCCTATCATTAGTGACAAAAAAAAAAGTCAAAATCTTTGACTCTCATATTCCCCAATGCATTTTAACAGTAAGGCTTTAAGTTTTTTTTGTACGAATTTCTGGTAGGGAAACTGGCTCAAATACTATTTTTTCACTGTATGTGTATTGTACGGCTGGATCCTGCCAGCAACATTTTGATCAATAGAGTTTTCTAGGGTTTTTTTGGACAAAACCTTGTATAAAATATTACTCATTAGTTAGAACTTGGGCAGTCTGGGTAAGACCTAAGTCAAAGCTGCAATCCAAAGCCTCCGAACCTTGAGCAAAGGGTCTCAGAGCTGAACCCAGACTTGAACAGAGTGGTTGGGATCCATTTGCAAATAAAATAACATGCTGGTTTTAGACAATGCAGGTACTAAATGTTATTCCTGGCTGTAGTAATGTCTTCAAGATAAAAGCCTCGATTTTGAGATATCTACTTCACCTTTTCATTTGCTCCCTCTTTCAGAGGTTTTCTCCCCCCACAGGCAAAACCCGCAAACTTTAAAATAAAGCGAGTTGCGCATTAAAATGACAGAAAAAGGACATTTAAAAACTCTAGGAGCTGGAATGGTTAAAATTAAACAAAGGATGCCTCTTGCATGTGTGTGTCACGGAAGTGTTTTATGAAAATATCAATGATGGAAAGTGTTCAGTCTGTCTGTGCTGTACTGCTCACTAGACAAGGCATAAAAACAGTGAAAGGTCTTGTTTAAAAAAAACAAAAAACAAAAAACCAAAGGTCTTGACTCCCTGTTTGCTAAGGTGGGCAGGAAACACCCTGTGAGGACATCTAAATTGTAATGGTAAAGAACTATTGCCCTACTGCATTAGAGATACTAAATTAAAACCGGCCCCTCCCAGCCTGGGAAACAATTCAGTGCTTCAACTGCAGCACAGTTCCTCTCTTCCCATGTCACTCACGGAGTTAACACAAACCACTACTGAAAATCTCTTGAAACCATACGATCTCTTGAAAGCAAATAGCTATTGCTATTTCTATGTCCTTAAAGCATCTTCTCATTAAGATACATAAGCCAGGTTAGAAAAGTTAATATATGTGTAGGTTAAATGCTTCAAAAGGCAGCAATAGCTTTCTGCCAACCTGCAAAAATTAGTTTTTGCATGGATGGGCCTAGCAACAGCAAGGAAAGAGCCGTCATTTTTTCAAGAACTGTGGGGACCACAGAATAATTCTGTAAATCTGGATTATTTTTTTCGAGGAGTCCCAATATTGCCTGATCAGGTATTGTGTATTGGCTGGACAGGCACTCTTCCTTTCCTCTGCCAGAGGAAGACACTCTCACTTCTTCCAACTGCTAGGCTACACTTCTCTCAAGAGTCACGTGAAAAGCCGATGTTGTACTCACCTCAATTTCTTCTTCTCTATTGCAATCCAGCCAGGAAAGCATGCAAAAGAAAATATAGAAAGAAAGTGTAAATACCAAGCAGAAAAAAGAAAGGTTTGGGGAAGATTTAAAAAAATAATAATAAAGAAGCATGGCAGGGGGGAGAAGGGGGTGCGGATTCGGATACCTTTACTTATAATTAATAACATCTGACTTTCTAAATAGTCCCAGTGTAATAGCTAAGACCCCTTTGAAAACAGGAATAGCAATTTGTTCCAAGTGCTACTTTTCTTAACCACTAATCATATATGCCAAGTACTTTTAAGGGGGAAGCAATTGCAGATGTTCCCTTCAAAGATCAGCAGCATCCCAAACCTTCAACATCCAAGGATTTTTGATAGAGTAGATCTCATTAAAGCAAACAGCCAACTAAAGTGATGCCTTTCTCTGATGCTTTAAGAATTACTCATTGAAACAGAGAGGTGATTAAGATTTTATGATGGTAGATTGAGGGCTTTCAGTGACGAAGTAATGAAAAATCAACTTGAGAAATCTTAGTTCATCTTTGTCTTTCAGTTTTGGCTTCCTCCTTCTGATATGATTAGGAGGAAAAAAAATAATCAAAAGAACCTGTCCTTCTCCAAAAATATCCTCTCCAGCACAACCAACACTACAACATTTACAAAAATGTATTTTTGTACTGCTTGCTAATAGTCTCCAGGGTAACTAATTACAGACTGTAATATAAAAAAATTATATGCAGCACTTGAATTCGCAAGTAATACTATTCTAACTCCTATCCTCTTGATTACTAGAAGATTAAATAGTGCAGTAACATGGATTAACCTCACAAATTTGTGAAGGAAGGAAATTTAGGTCTAAAAGATTTTTTTAGGCTCCTCACACCGTCATGCTACACAAAAGTTAGTAAAGTACTTTCTCCTATAAGGTGGAAGAATAAGAGTGCTATTGCTCGTTCTACTTTTAACTACATGGGAGATGCTCAGGTATTGCACTGATGGGAACCAAGCATTTATTAATATGGAGATAAATACTTGGGTTTTTCCATATCTGTCACTGCAGGTTACCATTTCAGCTTCATTTGTTAAAACTATCCATCAACCTTATTGTTCAAGTGCATTTCAAACACTTTAATATAAGGATATTAGGTGTGTGGGAAGCTTTCTATACATATACACGCACACACATATACACACATACCTTAGAAATGAGTTCTCCCAGCTAAATGCATAAGATGAAGAAATATTTCTAACTGAAGGGGAAATAAAAGATTCCAGGCCTTTTTAAATTAGATCAATTCTGACCCATAATTTACTGCTGGTGCAGAGCTAATGGAGAGAGGATGCAAACATTTTATTTGTGTCACCTAATTTTAAAGCAAAAAGCTAGCTTCCACTTTCTGTACAGTTATGAGAGCAAAGCAGTAGTGACCAGATACTCAACTTAAACTACAATGCTAAACAGTTAAGAACAAGCTAAAAGAAAGATCAATCACCACAATACAGTCCTATCTCTATGAAGACGCACATCCTATTGAAATAGTATTGTTTGCAAGTTATACGTTGCTTTTACAATAGCAATAATAGGCTTTGGGATTTTTTCATTAAGGAAACGTGACCCACAAGTTGAAATGAGCTGTGGGCTACGCAGACAATTTGTGTGTGCTTTAAAGAGGTCGTGAAAGACCTGGATGAATCCTACAGCCCGTTAAGAAAAGCACTTTGATACAAGTTAGTATTTAAAAGGAGGTTTAATTTTAAACAACACAGATGGTGAAGTACTGCAAGCCAGAACCACCATCATTCCTGTGAGTCACATATTCTGAGTGCTAAAAGCAAGTGCTTATGAGGGTCAAAAATACACAGTGAGATATAACCGGGAGTCAACAGATGAGTGTCAAAAAAATACGCAACCAGAATGCACATTATGGCATAACATAATATAGTGAGTAGCGTGGGTGCATGCAAGCTGGTTGTTCTAGAAACAAAAAAAAAATTTCCCCCTAAAAAAAAAAAATCACAGATTTAAAAATAAAAATGGAGTAAGCAAGCAAAAAAAGGAGTAGAGCAGAGGATAGATTTTTAAGTCAATCGTTTGTTTATAATCAACCCTGTTGTGGGGGAGGGAGCAGCAATTAGTCGAGAGGAATTATCCAAGACGGTGCAGAAGTGCCCTGCACATGCTAATGTACACATCGCTGCTATGGCTTTCATCCTTCAAGGATCTCCAAGCAATGAAAAAGATTCGGGGTTAAGGCTTCAGAAGCACTAACATGACTTAGTAGGTTCGGGGCATGCCGTTGTAGACGTACTGAGATCAGAGCTAGGCAGCCGGGTGTCTAGTCCCAGGAACAGAGGGACTTCAGCAGGCAGGGTCAGCGAGCTTCCCCGATGGCATTGCTCCACCACTCCCGACGCCCAAGTGGGCTGCTTGAACCCCACACAGACATGCCTACGCTGCTCTGCACCACTGCTATGATGGCACGTACCGAGATAGTCATTCCAACATCCACGTTCAAGGTGACTTGGGCAGAAGGCAGGGTAGGTTTCCACCTTATAGACTAAGTCAGACTCAAGTATTTTACAAAGGCCTGAATTAACAATTTAGTTTAAAATGGTGCTCAAGCTTCGACAGTACTTTTGAAAGCTTGACTATAAGTCTCAACACCACCTGGGAGGGTAAACTGAGGCAAAGAACTGTTATGTACCTTGACCCAGGGAGTGTCTACATGTTGCCTTATAGTACCATTGCTACAGTGTCATGCTTTGCTGCTTCCTTTTGGAAGTACTGAAGCACCGTGCCGTACAAGTGGTTACTGCACCGTGTGTGGCACAGGGTAGATTTTGCTGTTCAGTCGCTGTAGCAGTGTGCTATACCTGGGGAGCGTGCCACTACAGTAATGTAGCTGCAATCCAGTGCAGACACACGATTGCTACATAGCGTGTCGCTATGTCGCTGTACGGCGATGTGTAGACGCGCCCCTAGAGTCATAACATCGGTGCAAGGCTGGCGATGCAACCCAGGGGTTTGGCAATGTGATGTTCGGGTGACTATACCCCGTTGTCTCTAGCGCGTCACAATACGACAAGGTGCAGAGGAGGTAACAGGGACTCCTAAAACCAGAAAAAGCACACATGCAGAGAGCCTTAAAGAAAGGGCAGTCACTTTGGCAGCAAGGAACATTAATACCCACTTTGCTTCCATTTCTAATAGAATATCTCAGTTCACTACAGATTTCCCAGGCAAACGTATGAATGCCCACAGCTCATCTACTCTCCTGCAATGAATGACCACAACAGTCTCAGCACTTAACACCTTTTGTACTTCTGGCAAGCAAGAAAGCTGTTCCATAATGGGATGCTGCTAGATAGTCCCCAATTCCCGGGCAGAGTCCCTAGCGTTTAGTGAGGTTAAATGGTCAAAATAAGTCCTGTGCAGAAAGATCCCGCGCTTAAAAAAAGCTGCAAGCCTTGAGCAGTCTGAGGAACGGTTAGCAGGCAAAGACACAAGCCCAGATTTAGTAAATGGACACGGCGCAGGTCTGAAATGTTTCCCGTTTTATAGCCAACTGTTTACTCTCCCTCCTCTTTTCTTTTTTTAAAAGAAACCATTGACAGAGACTTCTATATAAAACATGGACGCAGCTGGCTTTAGTGACACCACCACAAGGTACTAGCACTTGACAAGTAAGTTTGCCAGTAAATCTTTAGTTTATGCCCAACAATTCAGGTGTTGAAATGCACGCTGGGAGAACAACTCCTTCTCCCCACTTCTTCTCCATCTCGCAATCCAGCCACACGTGTTTTCTGTGTCAACTGGGCAGTACCTGAGCAGTTGAGGAAAGCCAAAATGGTAAAAGGACTCCAGAAAGAGGATAATTCTGACCTAGTATTTACACTCAATGAAGTCTAACTCGCAGCAGTTCTCTATGATTTGAGCAAATACCATATTTTCTTGCATACAACACAGCCCCGAGTAAGCTACACACCTTGTTTTTGAAAGGCAGAATGAAGAAATAGAAGATTTTTGCTTCTAGTAAGTAACCGAGTAGCAGCAGCTATGGAGCTGAGCCTGCTCCCTGCAGACTTTACTCGCCCTTTTGCCGGCTAAGTGAGCTTACTATATTTCCTCACTTATAATACACACCCTAATTTTCAGCAGCTGGTTTATGGGAAAACATTGTGTTGTACCCAAGAAAATACGATAGCAAGAGGGGAAGGAGAATTAAAGTATTAACAGAGCAGAGCAATAAGGAACAAGCTTAGGTTTACTCTACTATAAATCTGATATATTCTCAGAATCTTATCTGAAGTTAATTGATACTGGTGGGAGAAAAAGTAGTAAGGTGCTTTCACTGTCATGGTACTTCAGCCAGCAATGAGAAAACTGAGCTTGCAGCAACAAGCTGCTCTTTCAACATAACACGATGAAGCTAAGCTGACCTGCACCCGGGTCTGCTGCATCTTGGGAAAACTATTTTCTTGCACAGCATTTTTAAGTTGAGAGGTAGCAGGTGATGCTGCCAACCACAAATTAAATTCAAAACACCCTTCCTACACTTCACATCAACAATATACAACAGCTTCCAGAAATAACAAGTAACCTGTTTTTAGCCTGAAGTTCGTTCATTAGCTGCCTACTACTCTAGCTTTCAACTCATTCAAAAATTTCATAGGACTAGATTTGAAAGAGAAAACAGCACAACAAAAAGGCAGAAAAGTCCAAGGACATCACAGTAACTACGATATAAACCTATGTTTTTTGTGATAGCACGCAATCTAACCCAAGACTGTTACGGCAACCTTCTTTCCAGTAAATTTCCTGTATTGCATTATATAAATACAAGAACACATTCCCATAACATTGTACACGGATCTACTTTAGTCTCACCCCACCTGATAGAAGATAGTTTGCTTCTTAAAAGATTTTTAAAATGTCAAAGTTGAAATCAAGCTTTCAACTGAAGACAGCTATGATGAAGTTTATGGCAAGTAGGACTCTGATGGATACAATATTAGTAGCCATTTATTTGCTTATTGCAATCTTATGGAAAACGCTTTAAACGCTAGCCCCAAAATCACAGGTTATAAAGCACATTTAAAAGAACTATTTTGACAGCCTGAGAGCTAGAGTGAAATGTGTTTTTCTCCAATGAAGTGGCAGAGACATGTGCAAGTGGATATAACCAACCCAAGCACCACGCCTGCCTCTGGCTGCCTTCTGCGGTACCTGGGAATCCAGGTACTTACCCAGCACGCAACCTCTGACCCATGCCACGTTAGCCAGGGGCTTCGTAATCCCGAGACTTTCCCCCCAGATAGGCAACAGCTCATGTGTTTCTTTTATCAATAATTTGTTTTGTGCCTCTACTCCGTAGCACCTCCCATACAGCGTACAAACAGGCTTTGCCTACATTAAAGAACATTACCCAGAATTTTTACTTAAGACATTACCAGTGCAAGCCATAATACAGAGCAGGGGCAGGCAACCTACAGCACCCATGCCACGTGAAGGCACATGCATGGATAGCGGGGAAGGGGCCAGGGCTGTGCTGCCGCAACTAGGATCAGGCCCCTGGCGGCTCCCCCCGCCGGGCGTCCCTGGCATGCCAACATCTTACAAAGTTGAGGCTGCGGGTGTTTTTGGAGCTCTGCCCAAAAACGTCACCAACCCCTGATATAGAGTCTATATTGCAGATAAAAGTCTGGCGGTTTTCAGCATTTCTGTCCCTCGAGGCCCACAAGCTTCTTGAGTTGCGCGAGTATGGAAGGAGCACTTCCCCCGTACGATTCAACCAAAATCTTTAGAAAACACCTGAAAAAAGAAACCACAAAATGTGACTGGTTTTGCATGGTCTTCATTGAGGAAGAAAGGATCCAGCCTTGAAGAAAGACTGCTCAGTATATTTTTGAAGCTCCAAATTAACACATAGGATGTACATTTTTTTCCTCATTTTTCCTTCTAATGCATAAACCTAGCCTTAGGCGGCCAGGCGGCTGAAGTGTTTCCAAGGGCTTTCTAGCATTTCTGGAAAGAGACGGACACTAGCATAAACCTGACAAAAACCAGAACTCAATATTTAGGAATCTTCAAAGCTTAGAAAGTTAACGTGACTTCTGTATATTTTTATAGGACTGACTGCACAGGAAGATGTGACAACTATACTTAAGTAACTTGATTTTTATAGGGACTGAGCACTTGACATTACTCTTGAAAGGGAATGACAGAAGCATTTCTCTTCATTGGGGCTAAGCAAAATATAGCGCATATGCCACGCAACAGAGTCAGAGCTCTGCCCATACCACAGCTTTTTTGCTGTTCTTATTAATACCCATCTCGCTCCAAGAATGATTGACAAGTTTACAAAGAGTCCCACTAAATATCACTTACTAAAATCACATGTAAATGCAAGTTCACACTAAACGCAGTCAGGTGTTGTAAGCTCTTCAGGTCAAAAATAAAATTAAAAAAAAAAAAAATATGACCAACTCACATTCCTGATACTTAAAGTGAAAACCAACAGATTGATTTCTGGCGCCCTTCCATGCACACGTTCTTTCAAGAACTTGGATCCATCACATGGAGACTGAGAGACCAAAAGGAATTTTTCTTCTTAAAAAGACTTCACTATTTTTAATTTCTTAACTTGAGGAACTTGATTTCTCAGCTTTAAATGTTAACTTTTAGGTTCAAAAAACTTACAAATTATTGTTCACGTAAACTAATGCTGCAAATCATGAGAGACTAAAGTTCAAAAACTGAATTGGAAAATTTTGCAGGCAGAAAGATATTTTCCTATCCTTGAGTCACTGAATCACTAGAGAAGTCGCTGCCTCCCCCGCAACCCCCGCTCAAGGCAAGATCATCCCCGTCTAAACCATCCCAGCCAAGCGTTTAACTAACGCTTCAAAGCTTGCACAACACTCACCTCTGGGAAATCCAGTGCTTAGCCACCCTCATAGTTATAAAGTTCTTCCTATTATCTAACCTAAATCTCCCTTGTTGCAATCTAAGTCCACTACTTCTTGTCCAGTCTCCACTGGACAAAATGAACAACTGATTGGCATCCTCTTCCTACAACGACCCTTTTTGTATTTGCAGGCTGTTATCAAATCTTCCCCCTCGCTCTTCTCTTCTCTAGACTAGACCATGCGAATTCTTACAACTTTTCCTTATGCCACACCTTGGAGGCCTCGAATCCTTCTTGCTGTTCTCCTCTGGGCTATCTCCAGCTGGCGAACCCATCTCTTAAATTGCAGGGACGCAATACTGCAGGCGAAGTCTCACCATTGCTGAATTACAGCGAAAGGATTACTTCCCATGATGTGTATGTAACGCTTCTCTTAACTCTCTTAACTCTCCGCTCCCCAGTGTTGTACTGACGACGTGTTCAGCTTGTAAACAATTAAGGGCCCCCCAGCAAATCTTCTGCATTTTAGCCCGTCGTTCCCCATTCTGTATTTATGCATGTAATGGTTCCTTGCTAACGGCATCTCTTTACAGTTATCTTTAAGGAATAGCATTCCATTTATTGCAGACCATTTCCCCCCATTTATCCGCAGCATTTAATCTTAATCCCGGCCTCGTGTGTCTGCTCAGATCAGTCATCCAGAAATTTGGTAGTACGCATACACTCAACTTCACCATCCAAAAAATGAACAAAGACACTGAACATTGGTGGATCCACCGCGGGGTCCTGCGAAATCCCCCACCCTTAATACCTCCTCTCAGCTTAACACCAAGCCACTGATCGCTACTCTGTGCACTATTAGCAAAGCCAGCGTATAGCCATTTTGTGGTGGTTTCATCTAGATCATCCTTCCTTAGCTTATTAATGAGAATGGCAAAAGAGACCATCTCAAAAGCCATACTACATCAAGATGCATCCCATCTACTGCTCCCCCGTCTACATAGGTGAAAACTGCATTTCTGTCCCAGAAAGAAATTATATTACTTAAAGGGCTTTTACTTATAACAAATTCACATTGGTGCTGCCTTATCACCCTGTTACTAAGTGCTTCCAAATTAATTCATTGGAGATGTGCTCCAATCTCTCTCTGGCTATTGCAGTTAGCGTGTCCCATCTGTAATTCTTTGCATCCTTCATTTTACATTTTTAAAATATGGGCAATCTATTCGCCCTTTTCCGGTCTTCTGCAACCTCACACGACCCCCGGGACCTGTCAGACAGAACATATCCTATGGCTCTGCAATTGCTTCAGCCCATTCTTCAAGTACCGCAAGATGAATCTCATCAGACCATGATGATCTGAAAACATTTAGCCTATCCAAATAATCATTAACTTGTTCTTTTTTACATGCATGGTGAAGTACTTACCCCCCTTCCCTTGTCCTTGAGACAAACTGTTCTCATCACCTGACAGCAAAGCATTTTTGTGAAATAAATACAGGATCACCAAGTACTTCGAGCTACTTCATTGTCCATTATTAGCTTCCCTTCTCCCTAGTAAGGGACCTCCACTTTCCTTGCCCCTCCTCACTTCTAATACATTTGTTAAATGCTTTCTGTTATGTTTTATGATCCATCCTTGCTAGCCATCTCTCCATTTGTGCTTTGGCTTCTCTAATTTTGTCCCTACCTGTTTCTATTTTACTCTTATCCTCACCCTTAGCAATGAAGGCAAGTTCCCACTTTAAAAAACACCTTTTTAAGTTTCGGGTCATTGAAGAGATCATGGTTTAGCCAACCAGCTGTATTACTGCACTGACTATTTGCATATTATTGCCCTGAAAAGACAGAATAGGGTCTCTTGCATATCATACTAACTGCCATTTCAACCTTTTTTTTTTTTTTTTTTATTACACCGTGCTTTAGTGGCTTTTTCTTAGCCACAAACTTTTTTTTGTTTAAACTTAATATTTTATGGAAGCTTAACTCATTTGCCAGTGTATGGTAAAATCACCTTCTAGTCAGACACACAGAAAACACTACTACAACAACCGCACAGACTCATCTTCGACTCTAAGGGCACAGCCTATGGTCTTCAGTGATACTCTTATAAAACAAGAGATTATTTTTTCACATGGGATGGCTTTCAGACACTGCTGGGTTGGGGTTGGGAAGTCATGGCAGTAACGGGGTTGAGCACCTAGATCCATTACACACAAGAGAAGCCAGAACCCTAAGCTCAGTCTGTACCTGCTGCTTTCTAAGACCTGAAGAAGGGTGCTTTGTACCCCAAAGCTTGTCAAACCTCTCTCTTAGGATCCTAGACAATGAGAGTGGGAAGGGACCTCAGGCGGTCACATCTAGTCCAACCTCCTGCTCAAAGGAGGACCAACTATACAGTTGGGTTCAATAAAAAAAAAATATCACAAAAAAAACCTTGGCTCTCATATATATGTCCTGAACAATCACAGTTACAAAAAACCTACAACCCTACTATCCTTTTCATAACTTTCACGATGCAAGTCAGTACAAAACTGTCCCTCCTTTTAAAATGTGTTCATCAATGATTCGCTTCACTATGGCCTCTTCTCTTCAGCAGGTTTCACAAATCCTCCCCGTCACATAGCTTCTAGAGAAAGAAAGTACATGCCTCACAATGAACAAAGCAACACCACACTAGAAGCCTTCAGCCTCAAGAAAAGATGCCTTGAACATTATTTTTCTTTGCCTTGGCTACTCAGTGAGCTGTGAACGCAGAAGCCAACTCACAGAAAAGGTCAATATAAAAAGGTTTTACATTTTTCAGTAGACAAGTAATTTGTGCTATTTACTGCCAACATATGATACTGAACGTTATTCTAAAAGAAAATTTTGGAGACACATTTTAGTATTGAAGAGTGGACTGATCTCAATGCTAATTGAAATAACAGTTTTAAATCACAGTTTCCATTTCTGCTTTAAAGAAGTTTGCTTTCCCTTGGATGATAACTATTCAAGATGATAAATTTAGCCTTTACACTTAATCAGGAACTTTTCCCTAACTAGGAGATATAACATCTACACACATGTATTTATGCAAATATACAGCTTTGCAGGAATTTATTTCAATTTAAGTTTTTACATTTTTATAATGCTACAAATTAGTAAGTGATGCATCTATTTACTAGCTTATTTTTTACATGTTGAACTTGAAACTGATATTTCATTAAAAAGGCTCAAAACCAGCCTTTTTAAATTAAATATCTAACGTGGTGGGTACATAAGAAAAAAGTTTGCTTATAAAGATGCGTTTTGTATTTAAAATCAAGTTATTAAAACAACAAAGAAGTGTTATTATAGTTTGGGAACTGAACAGATCGTTTCCGATTACCACATCTTTCAAGATTTTAAGACCAGAAGACCACAACCCCTTGCACCTAATTTTCATTCACAGACCGGAAGAGAACAAACTTGCCTCCTTCTTCAGTTCCCAATAGGTTTTGCAGCTCAGAATAAACCAGACATTGCACTGAACTTACTCAATACATTGCAATGAAGAAAATAGTCTCTCTCCACCTGTAGAAGTGGTTGCTGATGTTAATACCTGGCTTCCTATTTCAACCAAGTCTTGTTCCAGATACTTAACCATCAACTCCCTCAGTTCAGTTGTGTGACCTTCTGTAAAACTTGAGCAGCAAACATTAACTGCTCAACTATTACTTACTTAATTTAGATGACTAATAGCTTAGAGTGAGGTTCGGCTTTAGTATCATTTGAATGCAGGGTAGATTTGTACCACGCAGACTAACCCAAGTAGATATATATATCATAAGCTTTCATGAGCTGACGCTCTTTTTACCAGATGCTGTAAAAGGATGTACAGAAAGCAGAGTACAAGGAGAGCAAAATTAGAATAGAAAAGAAGAGGTAAGGGGGAGAGAGGGATAGGAGTGGAGGAAGGGAGGGGGCAGTGCTGAAAGAAGCAGTAACCCCACAGGCTTATATAAGCTGGCAAATAGCCTTATTTAATTTACACTTGCCTTTATTTAAGAATCAAACTTTTCTTAAAGGGTGGAAAAATATAAGTGACTTTAAGAAAAGCTTGATTCTTAAATAAAGGTAAGTGTAAATTAAATAAGGCTATTACTTATTGGTATAAGGCTGGGTCATGTCTACTTTAGAAGCACTTTCCTGGGAAACTGCGATACAATGCTGGCAAGGCTCTCCTACTGTGGACACAGCTGTATTTTGTGCAGGTATAAAGTAATTCCCAGAAAAAAACCCAAAAAACAGTGCTGGTATTAAGTACTGTTTTGCAGAATTACTGCATCTGTGATGAGGGCTTCTGCTGGCACCTGTTCACATATGCAATGAGCCAAGGTGTAAAAACAGGTGTCCAACACAGACCTTGGGCACTAAGCTGACTGGCAACAATGCACGGTGCTAGTCCTGACCTGGCAGGCCCACTCTTGATATGGGGGAGTAAAAGCTGCAGTTCACACTCCACCTCCTCTCCAGCCCAGGCCTGCCCCATACAACTACCAACATGAATGCTGATGGGTACCATTAGACTTGGTAAGATCTGAAACACGACTAGCAGCATGTATGGAACAAGACCTCCTCAAATCGTTTCACCTGCCCCACTGAATCGCCAACTCCTGATGCCACTTTTATTAGACCCCCACACTAAGCTGAATTTGAATCAACTGAAAAAGCACAGGGCTATGTTGCTATTAAACCCTAACCACACAGTTTCTGTACCTTTTGTTTTCAGCAGGCATGTCGACATGAGACAATTTAAGGTGCATTAGGGTGTACATCTACACATGCGTACCCTTAATGCGCTTTAAAAACGGCGATTTGAGGCTAACTGCACCTAAATTTAACACCTGCAAATGCAGGTATCAAATTTAGGCACAAATAGTTAAAGCATATTAATACAGGTGTAGACACGTTAAAGCGCATTAACTGGGTGTGTGGACTAACTTGGGACTAACTTTGGTTCCAAGTCAGTTCACATGCAGCATTAATGCGTTTCAATGCCTGCATGTGCAGACACCTGACTAAACCCACTTAATGTGCATTAAATTTAAGCACACAAATGCATGTGTAGACGTGCCCAACATAAAGCATTATAGCCTGACTGCAGAAGTAAAAAATCATAGACTCTACATCAGCACAAGCAATGCCTTTACATGGCCCTGAAGCAGCTCATGAGCTGCTGGACATAATGAGATGGCATTATTCATACTCAGAAGCTATACACAGACAAATAAATTCCCAAGTCATTTATCATTTCTGTCACTCAACTGCCAAATCGGTGCAACTATTCACAAAAGAAAAGCAAATCCAAAGGGTTGTAACCTTTTTTGGCTGGTTTATCCACAACATACCTGGAGATCAAAAACTAGTAGGAATTAGCACAGTTTTTGCAGCGAGCAAAAATAAATATGTCGTGCTAAATTACTGCGAGTCAGTTTGTAGCTAACACTATTTCTGATACACAAGTATGTCCTTGCTTCCAAAAAAACCCACACAATCACAACTGGATTAGGTCACTGTGACAAAGGGAGAAAGGTAGAGAATCCAATTACTTCTCCTCTGAACCCACACATGCAAAAAGAAGAGAGATTGCAATAATAGTCTCCGGCATCCTCCTGGAGAGATACGCACCCCTGAAGCAATATAAAAATATTAAATCAATCTGGTTTCAAGTATCCACTCTATCCTCAATTTGCAACCTCCTAATACCAAACCTATTACACTCCGCTTGTCAGCCCTTGCCATTTTTCTAGACCGTATTCCTATTTTTGAGGCAGCTTTCCTCTGATTTACAACACACCAGAAAAAGTGACCATCTATGCAAGGTAAACTGCAAATCTGAGGTAAGCAAAAAGCACACGCAAGGACATTTTCCCCCCCTTTCATTTCTCCTTGGCAGGACTCTCCTACAGCAGTGCCAAGTGGTGCCATGCATGGTTGCTGGTATGTAGTGCAGAATTTCTTACAAGTGATGAGCCACTGGCACAGATATCAACTTCTAATCCCAAATTAATATTTTTCCTTTAATGTATATTAAAAACCACCACTGTAAACAAAATTAGATGGACGCTGAGCACTGACACTGCTGAAGCGGCAACAAAAAGATGAAGGGACTGATCTTATTCCATTCCCTTGACATCTAAGTGGTATGGAGGTATCTCAGTGTGATCCTATCCCAACACGCTCAAGTCCCTGAAAAACCAATAACACAAAGAGGTGGGCGAGTCCTCCTCGCTGCTTTTTGAGATGTCGTCTGCAGGCAACAAAGAAAGCAGTTCACAAAAAGCGATGCTTTTTTGGTTTTCAAGGGCTCGAGCACGGTGGAATAGGACTGTGCTTGGATGCCGAATGGGTGGAAAAGGATCCAGCCCTAAGAGACTCAAGTAATACATCTGCCAAGTCTGACATGCACGGTATCTCAAGTGGACAAGAGCCACTAAGAACAGACTCAAAAGGGATTAGAGAACAATATGGAAACCTTATAGCTCTATAAATTTTTATGATGATCATTTAAACTCCATCCTTCACAGCTGGAAGGAATACTCGATACTGGCACTAGTGAAAATGCTTGTTCTTGGCCAACTGGCAGCCTCAAAGCTGTCCTAATGGAGGCAATTCTGTGCTAGCAACCAAATAAACGGTGCCTCTAGTTCCAGAGGTAAGTAAGTGGGAGGAAGAACGACTATCCTAGCAAAGGTCTGAGCTGATTTGGTAGGAGTAACTAAAGTCTGAGACAAGGAAAAAGATGGATAGGTGGAGAAAAAGGTCCTGCTTTGAAAAGCATTTGATTTTTTACTGCTATGCTAAAAAGGAGACAAAAGGAAAGTGGGTCAGAAAAAGCAAAGGCAGGCAAGAACACCTGAAAAAATCCAGACACTATTACTTTATCAGCTGCTATTTATACATTATAAGGTTAAAATATTAGGATTTTAGAGCAGCTAGAGCATTTTGCTTCGGGAAGTAGAGACTCAATCACTACGATAACGCCAACATCCAGCGGCGCCTGATTTTTTTTATTCGTTTGTTTTTTGAATAGTACAAATCACAGGGCCCTCAAACTTCCCCTTGCCTAGGATCACCCTGACCTGCAAGATGTGCACAGCTCTCTCCACTTCACCCTCTCCTCCCATTTTGTTCAGCACCAGGAGATGCCTAAATAAGAAAGAAAATGAGTACTTAAGTTTTAAATCTTGACAGGAATCATCATAAGCGATGTTGTTGTCATGGCAGCTGTGTAAAGGATTACCAACCAGGAACACAGCAAGGAAATCAACGGCTGTGCGTGGACAATGAAGAAAGGCGGAGAACGAAAGAGACGCCACAGTCCAGCTGAGACAGCATGGAAAAGCAAGAGGAGGATATTAAAATCAATCAGAACTAGTCAGGTACCAATTCACCGTCTAGTAGATACACCAGGCAGCATGGCTTGTCCCCTTGTCTGTATTTGTCCGCAGGCATGGAAAGGCACGGAAAAGCAAAGGTGCCTACTGGGAATGGGCAGCGTACACTTAGAGCAATACAACAAACAATCCACAGCTTTCTATCAAGCACTGTCAATCCACCTGCAGTTGAAATAGGAGAAAGATATACTATAATTTGACTGATGCCATGTAAACATACCCACAAAAATGACTGCTCTCATGTCTCTCGCTGTAGAGTAAAAACTTGCAAGAAAAGTTATAAAATCATTTGTAACAGGTAGAGAGAGAAGGGGCGCTCCATCAAATGAACGCTGTGTACGAACTCCGAACGTTGAGTGATGTTATCTGCACCAGAGTAACTTGGTATTTGCAAAGTGCCTGGCAAACTCCTAACTTCTCCAATTCTTCTCTCTGACCTTTCAAATATTTTAGCAGGTCCCTGGAAGCCTGAAATTAAAACCTACTTTCTAGAGCCAAGTCTTGTACTGGACCTCAGAAGATTTGGGTTCAGTTTCTCTGCCTGCCCAATTGGTAAGAACGAAAGTATTGCCATTCACTGGCTCAGACCATGGCGTGTCTTTTACTGTGTCGGGCTGGGGCAAGGCAGCACCGAGTGCCATCGCAAACTACTCCACGACAACATCCAAGCTATTGCCAAGCCAGGCGTGCACTGTCTGGCTCGCTGTGGCAGCGTGAAGTGCATCTCTGGCCTCATCAGCAAGGAGACCCACAAGGTGCTGAAGGTCTTCCTGGAGTATGTCAGCCGCAACGCTGTCACCTACACAGAGCACATGCCAACCACAAGACCGTCACCACCACGGACATGTCTATGCACCGAAGTGCCAGGGTTGCACCCTGAACGGCTTTGGTGGCTGAACTCTCACTCCCAAAACCCACATCCTGCCGTGGTAGCAAGCAAATGTTACTAGGAAGAATGAACTGGGTCTACCCAGGGTTCCCCCCCCCCCACTGTTCCTCTCTTACTTGAAGCCTCCAGCATTTAAGGTCTAGGAAGCTCTAATTCAGAGGCTGTTGCTTAAACTCCTATAAATCCCCAATTCCCTGGCTAACCCCATTACAGTCCTAACCCAGCTCCCAGCATTGCATTTTAATTCCGCCTCTTCACTTATTCATTTATTTTATTTAGTATAAATACTACAAAATATTTTTAAAAATTAATTAAAATCACAGGGAATTACCTAGATTTTACAAAAATAAGCATGGCCGGGGGGGATGTAAAAAAGTTTCACCATTTCTACCCAAAAGCCTGTTTGAAATTCACCTTCTTTCATTTCACCAAACTACTGTCGAGGGGGAGTCTTAAGTACTTGTATAATATGAGCTCGACTTTTTCCTCCGATTCATTTTAAGCATACAAAGTAGGCCTACCAAAACACAGAATGGCTATGCGCATAATAATGACAACATAAATATTCCATCAGACACCATCCCAGGAGAGCTAATAAACTTACGAAGGAAAATGCTTATGGCCACAAAACTGACACCTAACAGGAGGAAGCAACACGGGCCTAAAGACTGTGCTGAAAATGAAACATCACAAAGAATAATCATTACGCAAACTCAGCATCACTTTCTATATGACTATGCACAGAGCATCTTCAGGTCACTTCTGTGAAGGCTCATACTAATACGATGGATTCCCCCTGCTTTTAGTTTCGTTAACAAATGTCAGCCACCTGCAAAACTCCCACCACTGTGTCCACCGAAAGTCTGTGGTGCCACCAACATACTGGCGCTTTTAAGTACAGCCTCTCCCATTAGAAAGCTTAATGTCACAGTTAGGTTTAACTTAATTACTTAAGTCCTGCATAAGCAGGTATTTCAGGGTAATATGTTTACACCACTTGCAGGTAGAGCGTTAAAAGGGGTTAAAGAGGCACACACTTGTGTCCCCCCCCTCCCCTTTCAGCCCTTTGACACAGGGCAAAAAATTGAACTATCATGTAGCAATCAAGGGCACTTTTACACGTGCTCCATGGGTGAAGTGGGGGTGGCAATTTAATTAGAGCAGCTCCAAGAGACGCTCTAATTAAAGCACTGCCGCATCTCCTGTATCAGCATCCCTGGGCTTAAAAATGGCATTCACCGAGCTTTAATTCAAGCACCCCCACCACCATTTTTAAATGCGGTGATGCTGGTACACGCGGCGTGGGAGGCTGGCAATGTTCTGGCAGACTTCATTAATCGAGTCTGCTCTGATGCCGGCATGCTGGAGCAGCCTCAGCAGTCATGCAGAGGCAGCCCAAATTTCTACCCAGCTACTGCCAAAGATGTTCCACCAGAAGTCTGATCAGCCAATGTGAGCTGAGCATCACCATACTATAATTAAGAAAAAGGTTGATCCAATTCATATAATACCATTTCAATAAACAAATATTTCCATTAAAAAAAAAAAAAAAGATTTAGACCAGGGTCTATCTCCAGCCAGTTTTTTAAACTAAATATACCTCTGTTTGGCCCTGATTATCCAAGCTTTTCTCCTGGACGAATCCACTTGTAGGTGTGCTGGGAGCAAAAACAGACATGGTGCCAGAAGATGCAGGGGTCAAAGCCACATCAGCTGCTTCACCCAATGGATCCCACTCTCTGCTTATCACCGACCATCTGCTAAACAATGTTATTGAAAATGAAAGCGAAGATATAACAGCAGCCAGCGAGATCCTGCTACAGCCGAGGTTGGTCACTGCCATGCCAAGGACGGGGCCATTTTGCCGACTGAAAGCAACACTAGATTTCTTTGCATTGCTTAAAGCCATTTCCAAGCTCCTAACGTGCATTTAAAAGTAGCTTTGTTAGAGATTCAAAAATTGATTCAAGTGTGCACTTCTGGGCAGGATTTTTCAGTCTTCGCAAGTTCCGTAACTAAAACGTCAATGATTTGGCATCTGGGTACATGTATACAAAAGCAACATCCCAAATCATCCAGCCTCTTCCCAAGTTGGCCTTTGAAATACAGAATCATCAATGGCAATATAGCTTTAAATCCTTTCTGTACTAATGGCTGCAGGCAGCATTTTCGTATTTGCTCTTCTCAACCATTAAGCAGAACATGGAGGATCCTACAAAGCAAAGGCATCGACTAAACCAGCTTACTACAATTGTGCGGCTCAGATGAGAGCTCACTGTGATTTTTCCTGCCCACTTCTTGAGGGCCGCAACCACTACACGTTCCCTTTGCATGGCTCGATTACAGCCAATTTCCACTTTGTTGGAGGCTGGGAGAATTGGACAAGCAGCATTCTGGATTGGGCCAAAATAGGTCCCTTTCCCCAATGCATTTCTATTTCCCCCACCCCTTTGAGGCTCTCCATTCACCGGGGAACACAGAGATTATTTGAACAAAGTCAAGAGTGCTTATCTGGCAAGCGGTGACAGGTTAGAAGTGGTTAAAGGCCACCAAGTTATACAACTATGAAAAGTCCCATTAGAGACCAGAAAGTTTCAGGAAACGAACATGCCGAGATGCTATTGGACAGCCAAGCATATCTGCCCTCACCTGTCTGTCTTATCTCTCTGGGCCTCTCCAAATATTTGCCTGAAATAGTTGGCATGAATGATTCAGTCCTGGACAAACAGCTAAAAATGTGTACATGCATTGTTTTGTGGTTTTACAGTAGCAAAGTCAGTTATAAAGGGTCAAGAACACCAGCTGAAGGCAAAGCCCAGGTAGCCCCTTGCATTCTGGAATGAACCAAGCCTCAGCTGACTCTTCCTCTTCCCGGGTACGTTTCATGCAACACAGGTGGGAAAGCAGAAGACAGGATTAGAGGACTCTTTAGATCCATACCCACACTTCCGTAAATGCCAGATAGCATGAAAATATTCACTTCTAGCAGGCATTACTGCAGTGATCAGATCCACCAACTGATCATCCTAAATGATTTTGCGCATATGCCCATTTTAGAACAAAGCTGACAACTGCTCACACCACCTCCTCATAATACATAGATTATTCCTATGCCGATTAATGCCTCAAGGGAAAAAAAAAACCCAACCCCAAAAACAAATACCCCAAGATCTAACTGAACTCATTCCCTCAGGGTTACTCCTGCTATAGATGGCGAAGAAATTCTGACATAGGCTCTTTTATGACCCCTTGCATTTAGGGATAATAATTTTTAAAAATCTTGCTACGTAACCTTATCTAAAGCCCACTCGTGTTTATTTTGGGGTGCCAACATTCACAGAAGTTTCCATTCATACCCCAAATGATTAGTTTTGGTGCCTTTTCCAAAACCTCCATGGCCATACTCCATTTGGTGTTGTAGATGTGACCTCCAGCACCTTGCAGTGTGAAACCATTAACCCCTTGCTTTATAACTTCGGGCACCCACATGTTTGCTTTTGATTTCTTTGCTAGGGACCCAACAAGGCTCGCACTTCAACACTACTCACTATGACCCAGTTGTGATGCTGGTTGTTCATTATCTACTGCCTTATCCCACCTCAGGCTGGCCCATTTTGTAGCGAGACTCCCCCTTTGCTACTTATCCGCTCAGCCTTTTTTTTTTTGCCAATCTATTTCAATAGCCCCAACACGTGAGCAAACTGTAGATATCTGCAAGTTTATATAATCCATCTCATTTCAAGATAGGTTCCACAGATAAAATTAGTGATCAGTGACTGTACAGAGCCCAGAGGGTTGCCACTTATTGCTTTGCTGCCATTTATCTAATTCTTAACGTCCCGGTGAGATTTTTTTTATCCAGGTCGCTGGATGCAACACAGAATCCACGTTTTACACACGGGCAGCGTCTTACGCTGCTACAAATGAAATGTAATCTTATATTGCAAAAAAAATTATCCTGCAAGTTAAATGAGCAACAACAGGGATCTTGAAAGTCATTCCCCCACTCTTCCCCAACATAAAGGGCTATCAATTTTATTTAAATAAGAAAAAAATCAGAGCCCCAGTCAAGGTCACTTTTAAACAACTGGACTGGTTTAAATTAAATTACTTGGTAAAGTTTAGCGCTTGACCTCACAGCAAGAGGTTAGGAAAAATGCAGTTAAATTTAGAGAGAAACTGGATGCTCCAGAAAAACCTATCAGCATGTTATTACCCTTGCACAGCTCCGATCCTCTGCTACAACATAGCTGGTTGCTGTGGCAATAATAAACAGAAGTTGATTTCAGGAGGACAAACTGCTATAGGAGAAGATAAACTGAACTCTTGCTTTCAGGCAAATATTTGTTGTAACGAAAAATAAAGAAAATGAAACACTGAAAATGGGCTCTGTAAGCAGACTGGTTTCTAAACACTCTGCATTTGCCATTAGACATCAGCAGTAGTATTTAGTGGCATTAACACACCTGTGATTGCAAAAGTTGGACTATGTGCATTAGGCCACCATTTCTACTCACTCAGACCTGGCCATTTCTGCTGTATCGGCTGCAAAACTTTCCCTGCAGGCTTGCAGATTAAGTGTGGTATTGCGAGGGAGGGGAAATTAGCAAAAAATCCATTGAAATCTTTAGGAGTACACTCAATGAGAACAAAGGTTGTACTCCAAAAGCTATTTTTAATTCTAACCGGCGGCTCAAAATAACTGAACCAGAATTCAAGTTGTACGTCTGACTCGTTCTCAATGAGAAATATTGGTCAGGTCAGTGAGAACTGAAAATTAAAACCCGGGCAATAAAAATGGCCTTTGCCCATGCATAATAAAAAAAAGCACTGTACATTATGCCACTGACTATGGAATTGGAGTTGCACAAAAACAACTTGTGTAACCGTACAGTCTGCCAAGTAGGTATTGAGTAGCACTCAACTAATGCCTACGGAGTTGATCAAAAAAGCTGCATCGTTTCATCGGTACACCCAGAACCGCCTTTCATGCAATGCAGCGTAATTAAGCACAACCGGACGATTAAATGCAACATTAGGTTTATCCATTCAAACATGAACATCAAAAATTAACAGTTACATTTCTCGCTGTAGTATTAATT